CTTGGAATCAAACCCAGATCTTCTGGGAGAGGGATAGATGCTCTTGACTGCTGAGCCATCTCTCCATCCCGTCTGTCACTCCTGTTTCATTTTTGAGACAATCTTGTGTAACCCAACCTCAAATTTCTAATCCTTTTGCTTCCACATCCCAGGTGCTGGGATTATAGGCATTCACCACCAATCTTGGCTCATACAGGGCTGGGAATCAAACCCAGGGTTTATGCTAACGACTGGGCCATTCCAAACCCAAATCCAGATTCTTGACAGTCCCCAAGATCCAGGGGTTACAGAAGCTGACTCACATCTCAAGGTCATGTCTAGGTTTCTGCTTTGGAAGTAGACATTTAAGCATAGAAGTCCTGGGGCCTAGGGTGCAAATTCCAATACAATTTCAGAAGCCGCCTGAATTGTGTATATGGCTATTGTAAAGACACTGTGTGCTCTCCTCAGAAGTCCACATCCATACTGGGGTGTATACCATCTTTGCCCTAAATCAGTTCTCCCACCAATCAGTCTGTCTGAATGTCTATGCTTAAAACTATGCTAAAACTATGGCTTAACAACCCCAACTCTGCTTCACAGTGGCATCCTGAAGGTCAAGAATCCCCATTTGACTGACATGGAGGTCTGTGAAGCTTCTCGGGCTGCTGCAGGTGGTGGAGCTGTCTCTGGCTTTTCTGCCACTGACAAAAGGACTCAGTTCTAAATTCAGTGTTTTCCTTTACTGTACAGAAAGTGTAAGATTCTACCCTAAAGCTGGCTGTGGTGGCACAGACCTGTAATCCCAATATTCAAGATGCTGAGGCAGGGGGATTGTAATGAGTTTGATGCCAGCCTATGCTATATAGTGAGACCTTGTCTCAAAATAAAGAACAATAAAAGACCCTGCCACAGTTCCTGCGAGGAGGAATTCTCACACAATGTGTGACAAATTCAAAAATCACCTTTAAAATGCAGGCTCCCAGCTGCAAGCCAGGGAGCCCCTCTTCAGGGACCAAGAGATCCACTTACATTCTATTTGAAGAAGATGTTGTCCACAGCTGTATAGTCCCTCCTGCTGCGGCAATGATGGTGCCTATTAAAATGAACATTGAGGGTTGAGAATATAGCTCAGAGTTGTTGGAGTGCATGTGTGAAGACCTGGGTTTGATCCTCAGCACTACATAAGCCAGATGTGGTGAGACAAGCTTGTCATTAATCAGCACTCAAGGGGGTAGAGGCAGTTCATCCTTGGCTACATAATGAGTTCAAAGCCAGCTTGGGCTACATGAGACCCTGTCTTAAAAAATAAAAGTTAAAGCTGACACAATGCAAGCAACCCACAGCACTTAATCTATCAGGACAATGGATCCAGAGGTCTGGTGACGACTGTCAGGCACCTGAAGGCCACCCTCTGGCAGTCCTGCACAGGACCAGTCTTAGTATGTGAATAAGCCGGAACGCTCGAGCCCGGAACTCATTACCCAGGCTATGCACACAGGGACAGATTAGGGAAACGGACACATTTCGCCTGCGGACATTTTTAGGTGTAGGACTCATTCCGGGCTGATCCACCCTCCTGGCTTCTCAGGCCCGTGCCCCACCCCCCAGTGACCCCCATCTGACCCCAGGTGAGCGTGTTGCAGAGAACAAGAAAGGGGGTGTCGAGGTGAGCTGGAGCTGATCGGGGATAGTGGGAGCTGTTGGGCAGCTGTCTGTCATCGCGCGCGAGAAACTTCTGCTGTGTGTTAAACTCATGCCCTTCTCCCAGAGCTGAAGTCTTAGCGGAGCTTCTCCCTTTGATTTGTTTACGCGGAGCACCACGTGGGATGCAAGTTCCCAGAGGCATGGCTCCGAAAGGCAAATGGGTCCCGAAAGCAGACTATGGCGGCGTGGGCAGGACAAGTGTGCCTTCAAGGAAGGCTGCTGGACTTGGAAGCGGGACGGGGAATTTCTCTAAAAGAAAAGTTGTTTTGATTTTCATCCCGGGAGGGAACTTGTTTGTGGCCGACCACTAAGACTTGTGGGAGGCTCCAGATGTTGCTGCAGGAGCACAGGTGAGCCTGTGCTGTCCCTCAAGGGAGTAACTGTAAACGTGAGTGTTCTAAGTGTTCTCCCCAAGGCCAACGTGATTATTATGAAACAGGTCTCCCTGCTGTTCTTGGACTTGAGATGGATGTAAACATACCTTTCCATGGCGTCATTTTGAAATTTTAGGGGCCCGGCGGTGGTGGCGCACGCCTTTAATCCCAGCACTCGGGAGGCAGAGCCAGGCAGATCTCTGTGAGTTCGAGGCCAGCCTGGGCTACAGAGCGAGATCCAGGACAGGCTCCAAAGCTGCACAGAGAAACCCTGTCTTGAAAAACAAAAAACAAACAAAATTTAGGGACAGGGTCTCTTGTATCCAAGCTGGCCTTGAACTTACTATTTAGCCAAGAGTAACCTTGAACTTCTGAACCTCCTGCCTCCACTTTGCCCATTTTAGGTGGTACTGGCAAATGAGGGCTTCCTGCATTCGAGGCAAAAGCACTTAGCAATACACCCCCAGCTCCCAGATGTCTTTTTTAAATGATAGTTTATTATGTAGAATGGATATAGGTTTTAACATCTTTTTTCCTTTTGGTTTTTTTTTTGTTTGTTTGTGTTTTGTTTTAATTTGTGAATGCTACTTTAAAATTGTAGTTTTGACAGTCCTTAAGCCACAGGTATGACATGGCATTCTCTGGCATCCCTGGACCTGCAGGGGATCGGAGGACCATGCACAGCCAGGTGCTCTCAATAGACAGACTTTGTTTTGCTCTGAAGAGCTGGCTCTGATGGGGTGAGCTGGGAGTATGTATCAGTGCTTGGACCAGGCTCGTGCCTGAAGACCAAAGCAGCTTTGGAGGCCTGGGCCGGTCCCATTTCCCCATATGGGAGAGTAAGGCAGTGCCTCAGAGGGGACACGGTAAAACATAACAATTGAAGATGGTCCAGCAATGCCTCCCAGCATGTGCACAGCTGTCCATACAGGGTTCGGTTTGCCCTTTCCCTCTGCCATCCTCCCCGACTGACCACTCCAGGGTCGGGGTATCCTCCTCATGGCTGTCACTGTTCTTCCTGCTGTGGGCATCTTCTCACAGCATTGGGGCCCCATGGGAACTGTAAGTCTGTTCCACAAGGAGCCTGTTTTGACACCTCAGTGTCTGTGCATTGTAGGAATGCCACCAACCTTCAGGGCTGAGGACTCTGCCCCAGAGGGCAGCGGTGCTGTAAGGGTCCATGCAGGCGTCTGCAGCTGCATAACCAATGCCTGCTCTGAATCTTGGGGCCATGCTGCTATGTTGCTTTTCCTGGTTAGCCGTGTTGACTCAGCCCTACCACCTCACATGATATGGTGGTGTCAAAAGCGGGGTACACAGAGATTAGTGGAAGCCAGCACCCTGTTGGACCTGCATATTTGAATGTCTGTGCACGATCTGCTTTTTCTGAGGACCGTTGGTTAGTTTCAGTTTAACTAATTACCACTTGTGTGAGCATCCTATGTGCACATCTTTTTGCACTAAGGTCATAGTGTTAACATGGGGGAAAGGGTTTAAAGTATTGGTGCTGCTGCTGAGAGGCCTTCTCTCTCATGACTCAAGTTCTTGGTCTCCCCAGGTTTAGAGGCCTAGATCAGGACTGCTCTCCCATGGCCTTGTATGTTGTTCTCGTGTGCCATAGTCTCTCGGGGCAGCTCTTCATCAGGAACCCGGCCCTCGGGGTTCCTTTGTACAGCTCCCTGGATGCTGATGAGCTCCCACACCTGGGTGAAGGGCAGGGGCTACTTCCCCAGCGCTCGGCTCTCCAGGTGCTTCAGGAGAGTCGTGCCATTTTGGAGGCTGTGGTGTAGAATTGTGGGGGAGGCTCCTGGTGTCTCACACACAGCAGTTCTTCTGTTTGAGTTCCTCTGTTTTCTGTTCCCTTGTGCAGAGACAATGGCCGAATACCAAATGTTTTATCCTACCCATTCATCCAGAGCATTCTGAGACATCTCACACTCTAACCCACAGGAATCTGGCCACAAGTCTTTAATTCTGAAATTCCACACAGTAGGTCTTCTCTTTGAGTTTCTCTTGGTTTTGGCATCTCCGACTGTAAAACAGATAGAGGAGAATTTGTTGGAGTGAGACTTAAAGCTTCCTCATTTACTTTATGCTCCCTGACTTCTGGAAGCCCACATGGTTGTCAAGTTCTTGGCTTCTCTGGCCTAGCCTTGTAGAAGTGGAAATTCGGGGTGTGAACAGGCCAGGAGCTCTGAGCCCTTGTGGAGGAGCGCGGAGAGCAGCTGTGGACCCTCGCTGCCTCGTCTAGACCGCAGGTGTTCTCCAGGGGCCAGTGTGCTTGAGAACTGACATGTGCAGAGCCAGTGTGCACAGGGCCTCCAAGCAGCCATGAGCTAGACTCCTGCACAGAGGAGTGAGGCCGAGTTTCCCTGCTCTCTTGACCAGAGTGCCTGGCTAGAGGAGAAAGTATCTAACCCCGGCAAGGAGCCAGGGAAACAAAGTCATACCCAAAGATCTCGAGCACAGAACAAAAGTTAGTTCTAGGAGTATTTATTGATGGAGAATTTGTTTTATTAGATAAATTATTTAACTATTAAGAGAACAAAGCTGTCCTAGTGTGGTGACAACATACCTTTAATCCCAGCACACTGGAGGCAGAGGCAGAGGCAGGCAGATCTGAGTTTGAGGCCAGCCTGGCCTACCGAGAGAGTTCCAGGACAGCTAGAGCTACATAGTGAAACTCTTTGTCTTTAAAAAAAAAAAAAAAAAAAAAAAAGGGCGGGGTGGTGGTGGCGCACGCCTTTAATCCCAGCACTCGGGAGGCAGAGCCAGGCGGATCTCTGTGAGCTCAAGGCCAGCCTGGACTACAGAGTGAGTTCCAGGACAGGCACCAGAACTACACAGAGAAACCCTGTCTCAAAACAAACAAACAAAACAACAAAGCTACTTTTAGTACCAGTAGCAGATAATGATGTGTTGGTTTGCCCCAGCAAGTTAATGAACGAGAGAAGCTGTCAGAGTATGTGTCAGAGAGAGCATGCTAATGGAGACAGACCTCACAGAGGGAATGCTACATGAGGTCATGCTGTGAGATGTGGAGGGAACAGAAGGGAGGTGGGGCAAGGTATGGTCATTCTTGCCTTTGTCCTTCTCCTGGGCCTTCTAGGATAGTTCAGGCCTCTAGCTTTCACCCCAGAGAGCGCCAGCTGTTATGTCTGTGGGGGAATGTTAGACACATGGCCTGGGACGCTGGCAGAGGTCTCCTCAGCAGGTGTCTTTATTGACCTCTAGCACCGAGTAATGTCTAACATTCCAGCGCCTAGTGCCTCTGTAAGAACAGGTCGCAACACCGTCAGCTCACCATAAACTCGGTGATGAGTCACTTCCTCCGGCTCAGTTACTCCTGCCAAAGCAGGTGTGGCCTCTTGTCTCCTAACTGTGATTGGGGAGGCTGTTCTGATGAAAGCCGCAGTGATTGCTGGGTAGGTGTAGCAGAAGCCAGAGGGCCTCAGTGGAGAGTGATGTGTTCTAACTGCTGGGGGCCAAATAGATTGGGGATGGGGGCTATCTTCTCGCTGCCAGGCGCCTAGGCAGGGATGACATGTGACATGAGGGTTATAGAACCAAAGGAAGGGATCTTGCTACTAGCACTGGGAAGCAGATCTGGAATATTGGGTGGCCTCTGGACCTGTTAGATGCCATATGCAGAGCCAGTGTGGAAGTAAGATGGCCCCTCTGTGTTGTCCTGGAATGGACTTCAGGGTCCCCAGAGGTGATAGCCCATGGAGCACCCCAACAGAACTAAGCAGTGACATCTCCCCCTCCCTGGGCACTCTTTTCTGCTTATTTCAGTTGTAATTTAGTAGTGGTTTTTGAGAAGACAGACTGAAGAGTTCTCTTTCAACCTAAAGGGGAGAAAAGAAACAAACTGATACTCCCTGGCCTGTGACTTGCCTTCCTAAAGCCCTGCTGGGTTGCAGTTCCTGAATGGCTACCCTTTGGGGTGTGCTGGCGAGAAGCGGCAAGGGTGTGTACCAGGCTTTTTCTTTTGGGCCACCAACCCGCTCTCAAATCATGACATGGAGACTTCATGTTAATTAAGCATGCTCGGCCTTAGCTCTTATTTTAATCTGTTTTTCTTTATCTATGTTTTGTGTTGGGGCTTTTTTTACCTTTCTTTCTGAATGTCCTGCTTTCCTGCTTCTCACATCTGGCTAGCTGGCGGCTGCCTGGCTTCTGGCCCCAGGCCTGTCCCTCTCTTTCTCCCTCATTCTCTTCTCTCCAGCCTAGATTTCCCCTCCTACTTAGTCTCTCTGCCCACCAGCCCCGCCTCTCCCTCTCTGCCTAGCTATTGGCCATTCACCTTTTTATTAGACCAATCAGATGCCTTAGGCAGACAAAATGAAACAGCAACACAATTTTACATAATTAAACAAAGGCAGCAGAAACAAATGTAACACACCTTTACACAGTTAAAGTAACATTCTCAGCAGAAACAAATGTAACACACCTTTACACAGTTAAATATTGCACAACAAGGGTGCCTTTTGAGTCCCTGTGATACCTGCTTCTACTGACTAGTGATTTTCCAGGCTCAAAATTCCCAAATCTCCTATTCAGGATTTACCTTAAGTATATTTTATTTGGTTTTCCTAACTTAAAATTATTTGGAAATTTTGCATGTTTTTGAAATCTTTAAAGAAACTAAATAAAAAGCTAGATGCTTTTTAAAGATGTTGTATGATTAGGAGTGTTAGCCTCTCTGTTTAGGGGGTGCTACGTTAAGAGTTTCTGCAGCCTTTTGGGGTGTTTGGAGGGTATATTTTAAACCTTGCTGTGGGCAGGGTTTGGGTGACCCCGGCAAACGCTCACACATTGCACTCTCCTCCCCAGCCCAGCCCAGTGGTTTGTTGGTGTGATGCCACCCCTCTTGACGCTGCCCTTCAGGCGTCTCGTCTGGTCCCTGGCCTCCAGTCAGCTGGCTCCCAGAAGACACAGAGGACATAGCCTCCTGCATACAGCTCCAGAGGCCCGCCCAGATGGGAATGCCCCAGTGTTCATCCGCGCCCTGGCCTTTGGGGACAGGATTGCCCTTATTGACAAATATGGCCGTCACACCTACAGGGAGCTTTATGACCGCAGCCTTTGCCTGGCCCAGGAGATCTGCAGGCTTCAGGGTTGTAAGGTTGGGGACCTCCAGGAGGAGAGGATTTCCTTCCTGTGCTCCAATGATGTCTCCTATGTTGTAGCTCAGTGGGCCTCCTGGATGAGTGGTGGGATTGCCGTCCCACTCTACTGGAAGCACCCTGAGGCCCAGCTGGAGTATTTCATCCAGGACTCCCGGAGCTCTGTGCTCGTGGTTGGCCAGGAGCACCTGGAGCGGCTAAGTCCAGTGGCCCAGAGGCTGGGAGTCCCGCTTCTGCCCCTCACGCCTGCCATCTGCCATGGAGCAGCCGAGCAGCTGGTCCAAGAGAGGGATTGGCGTGACCGGGGTGCTATGATCTTCTACACCAGTGGGACCACAGGGAAGCCCAAGGGTGCCCTGAGCACCCACCGTAACTTAGCAGCTGTGGTGAGTGCTGGGTGTGCTCCAGAGGCCTCTGCTTCCTCCCCTCTCACTGTCCCAGCCACCACTGAGTAGGGTCCAGACATGCTTTGCCAAATGACCACCAAGACTATAGAGTCGCATAGTCAGGCTGTGTGATTAGGTTGGGATTTGTAAGAGCACCCTAGAAACAGGAGCAGCTCCTATGTCGGCTCCTGCCTTGTGAATTACCTTGTATTCAGTCACTTCCGGAACCACCTCAGCAAAACCCATCAGTCACTCACTCCTTGTCTGACTCCGCTCACTTTCTGAGAAGTTTGTGTATGTACAGTGAAGTCTTCTGTGCAGTAGAAGCAATAAAGGAACATGAAAGCCAACACACGAGGAAGGCAGCAAGTGATCCCGGGCTCTGGTGCGGCCAGCATCCTCGGGTGGATGGTCCAGGGAACACGAAGGAGCCTTGTCCACATGGCTTCTCAGTGAGAGCTGAGGATACGCCTGGACATCTGCCTTGTGACTCCTGTTACAGCTGAGTGGGTGACCAGGGTACAGGGACCACAGGTAGGCAGCTATGCTAGGCTGGTGCAGGTTCAAACCTGAACTCTGCTGCAATCTGTCCTTTGCAGGGGACCCTGCTGTGGGCAGCAGTACCAAAATCCCACCTCTGCCTTCCACAGTGTCTGCAGAGCCTGTTCCTGGGCTTTCTAGGGTCTCTGCAGTCTCGTTAGGTGTCTGTGTTCCCTTCCCCCGAGACGTGGGAGAACCCAGTTACTTCCCTTCTTCAGAGCCACAGAAAGGAAGGAGCGAAGAACCCTCTTTATTCCCCCTTCTCCCTCAGGATCCCCGGGACCACGTGTCTACCCGTGCCATGCCCACACCCTCTCATCCCTGGTCTTAGGCAGTGCTATTTCCCCACAGGTGACTGGGCTGGTCCATACATGGGCATGGACAAAACATGACACGATCCTTCATGTCCTCCCTCTGCACCACGTCCACGGCGTGGTCAACAAGCTGCTCTGTCCACTCTGGGTAGGAGCCACCTGTGTGATGCTGCCGGAGTTCAGTGCTCAGCAGGTGAGTCGTGACCCTGGTTTTTTAGCAGCCCAGTGAATTTCTGTGTGCCCCGCGACCAGTGACTACAGGTTGGAGGGTTAAAACAGCATACATTTATTCTCCCAGCTGCCTGGTAGAGCCAAAACCAAGGTATTGGAGGAGTTCCATCGGAAGGTTCATGGAGGTCTCTGCATCTTTCTTCTTATGGCTTCTGGAGGCACCTGCTCCTGGGCCCGAGGCTGCATCTCCCCATTCAGTGCACCTAACTCTAGTAGTCACCTCTCCTTCATGTCCCCAAATCACTGTGTGTCTAATCAGCATCATTTCCCTGCGTCTAGACCCACAGCTCGATGCCCTCTACAAGCTCAGGGAACAGGACATGAGAAGCAGGCTGTCCTCTGTCACATCTTCTCTGGTTCCACTGCAGAGGAACTCCTGCTGGAGGACCCACAGGAGTCACTCCCCCCCCCTTTCCAGCAGACAGGCATCAGGGACATGGTGTTGGCCCTGTGGAGGGGAAATGACAGTGAGGCCATCATCACCGAGAGTAGCAGTCTCCAGAATAGCAGCTCAAGGACACTGCATTAGAACAGGCTGGGCTCACACTGTTAGTGACTTCCACTCTGGGAACTGGAAGGAGCAAGACTTCACCTTTGTTCTGGCTCTCGGGACCTTGGCCTGTCAGTGTAAGACACCAGAACCTCTGGTCAGTCTCTGCAAGGTGAAGATGGTTGGGAATTGGAGGACTGTGTGAGGAATTGACTTTTTGACAATCTGGAATTTTTAATTCATGAGCCAGACTCTGCCCTTGCCTGAGATGATAACATGATACTATTCAGTCCTGTCTTGCATGCCTCATACTGATTATATTGAAATAAAAACCCAACTGGTGAGAAATTTAAATGTTTTTATATGAAATCTGATTAGAAATTTATTAAGGGGTAAAATGGCAAAGTTCAGGTGAAGCTTTTTGGGTAAGTCAACAGACCAGCCTCCTACCTGTGTTGAGCACTGTCCAGATTCCCAAGGCTGCCCCATGGTGTGGCTACAGTTGAGCTAAGGTTGCTTCTGACTGCAGTTGCTTCTGGAATGTTCCTCCTCATAGGCCAGACACAATGTCCCATGGAATGTTTCAGTGTTACAGGAGTCCCTCTGAACTGGAGGCCGCTGATGGCCACATTCATCTCACCCAGGAAACAGCTTCCATCAGTAGGAGAGACCTGAGATGGAGACAGGCTGTGCTGTCTTCTAGCTGCTGAATGCTGCTTCCCTTTTCCCTCTAGGTTTGGGAAAAGTTCTTGAGTTCAGAAGCTCCACGGATTAATGTATTTATGGCAGTGCCCACGATCTACAGCAAACTTCTAGATTACTATGACAAGCATTTCACACAGCCCCGTGTCCAGGATTTCGTGCGTGCAGTTTGTGAAGAAAAGATCAGGTGGGTGGAAAGAGCTCATATCCCCCCCACCCCGGCCCCATGAAGCTTGGTGGTCAGCAGGCGTAACTCATTCTTAGGGTCTGCCCAGTTCTCTCCCTTTAAATGGTGGCTCTGTGCATACGTGTATGTTCTGTCCTCTGCCTGGATTCATTCTCTCCCTCTCCCTCTCCCTCTCCCTCTCCCTCTCCCTCTCCCTCTTTCTCTCATCTGCATCCCATGTCTGTCTACCCCTGGTACCTCTGTCTCTCACGTCTGTCTGCTTCTCTGCCTGTGGAAGGCTGAGGACTGAACCAACCTCTTCCCTGGTCCTCTCTGACTTGGCTCTGAGACCTCCCCTCACTCTGCCCCTGCTGCTGACTGTCCTGCCTCCCCCCCTCCCCGCTTCGGGACAGGCACTTCTCACAGCCGTGAGCTGAGGCCTGTGGGCTGTTCAGTGGTGTGAAGTTGCCCTTCTCTGTCCTGTGAGCCACGGATATCATTTCTTTCCCAGCTTTATGTCGAAATATGGTTTGCTCACTAGAAGTGATCATAGTGTGGCTTACTTGATCATCACACACATTTCCAGATCCACATTTCCAGCAGGTGTGGGCTAGGGCGCTTCTCTTCTGCCAGAGGGACAAGGATGTGGCACATGGGAAGGGGACTGAGGCTGGCTGATGCACTTGCAGGGACAACTCTGATTTAAAACTCCAAGCTGAGTTAGAACAGGGCCTGACCCTGATGTTTCCGCTGCCAGCTCCAGCTCAGGCTGTTGACGAGGAAGTGATCCTATCTTACTTTGGAGATGAAAGAATCCTCACATGGCGTCAGTTTTTAACAGACGCTCACTGATGCTATCTGAATC